TTGGGTCCAAGTATGTACAGCCTTAGAGGTAGAGTAAAGGGCTTGGACTTGATCCAGAATGCCTTGAAATGACTAGAGATTTTTAAGAAGGACACATGAATGGGGTGGGTGTATAGAGTTCTAGTATTTCAAATAACTTAGGCTGCTCATATGTGAGCTATAGCTTAAATTTGCTAGCTACTTTAAAACTAATGGTTGACTGATCAACACCTCCTCCCCATCCTGCCACCCCTTGACTGAAGTAACCAGACATTGTGACCTTGTGGGGACTCAGTTTCCAGTCAATGGAGAAGATTCCATGTGGCAACTGGAAGGGAGGTACAGACCAATGTTTCTTAAGTGACTTTTGATATTGGTAGGTGCTGTCGAGTAGGCTCCAACTCATAGCGACCCTATGTATGACAGAATGAAACACCGCCCGGTCCTGTGCCAGCCTCACAATCTTTGCTACACCTGAGCTCATGACTGCAGCTACTTTGTCAATCCATCTCGAGGTCCTTCCCCCTTTTCACTGACTCTCTACTTTACCAAGCATGTTACCCTCCAGGGAACAGTCCCTTCTGAAAACATGACCAAAGTAGGTTAGACAAAGTCTGGCCATTCTTGCTTCCAAGGATGTAAACAGAAGTCATATCATCGGATGGGCCCTGGTCAAATCAGTTCACAGTTGCAGTCCCAGTTTGCTGCCTCCTGACCCAAGATGCCTAAGAAAAACTTCTTGGTGTGTCTGTGGATGTGGTAACTCTTATCAGTCTGTTTGATTTGTCTCAGAGCAAGTAAACAGACTCAAAAGATCAAACTCTCCTGACTTCCTTAGGCTCCTGCTGCTACTCTGCACTTTATCCTTATTTTGGACTGTAGGAGAAACAGGTTCAGACCAGGAAATCATCCCAGTGCCAGACAGCCTAACCTAGCTAAGATATACACAGAAAAAACATTTCCTTCCCAGTTAGGGAAGAAGAGGATTCAGCCTAGATCAGTCATTCTCAACTTCAGTGGTCCTAATATTAAGAAAAAGCATAGGCTAAAAATGTTATTTGGGCATGCCTGAGACCCACTGAATCTCTGGGATTGGGCCAAAGAATCTGTGTTTTAAATTATCATTCTAGATGATTTTGATGCCAGTGATCCTGGACCACACTGACTAGGATGCCTGTAGTTGTGAGCAGCTCTGGCCAGTGGTGGCTTTATTTATTTATTGGATGAGTCAGATGAACCTTTAATTCCTCCAGCACACTGGGCTTGCAAAGTTTGCACCATGCTTGGGTTTTAATTTATTTCTAGGTTAACTTCTTAATTGAGTTGTTTAGCTCAGCAGAGGACCTGAGATGCCACAGATAAGAGAGAGGTTTAAGGGTAAGCTTTAAGTATTTCTGGCTGTGTTTCTTGTTATCCTTTCCAGTCCCACTTATCTGAAGAGCCAGGATTTCTCAAAGGACAAGTAACCCTAGAGGGGAGTTATCAATGGGGAAGCAACACATTCCTTTTCCTTTGCACACCCCTGTTAAACTATGTTTGTTAAGAACAGAATCTCAAAAACCTTATCAAGATGTAGGATAGAAGTATTTTTCTCTTTTGCATTCTTGAGCTCTGAGGGTTACAAGAGTGCAAACTTAGGCAAACAAGATACATTTCTAAGGTGTTGCCACTTCTTGATGAACTGGTAACCTGTGTGGATAACTCATTAGTGATATCATGAGTGTTAGATGTTCATAAACCCCCCACAATTCATTGGCTGACAACATCTCAAATGTAGAGTTTTGGGCTTTGGCTTTCGTTGCTTCCATAACATACTCTGGAGTTTGAGTATAGAGGTTTGGGGTTTTAAAACTTGTTTTTAATTAAGACATGGTTATCTTTATTGCATGAGATAAAATGCAGTCTGTGGGATGCAAATGCAACTTACAGAGTAAAGTGCATCTGGGCAGACCATGGGGGAGGGGGGGAGGAGGAGAGACCGGACAGGGGAAAATAAAAAAAAAACATAAAGACTAAGAGAGTCTGCCAGGATTCTTAAGTTTACTTAGTAACTTCTTGAGAGTAAAAATCCCAGCACCTCCATTATAAAAAAGCACACCTTATAAACGTCGCTCTTTGAAATATCTAAATGAACTGGATTGAATTATGAACTAATGGCTTGTAAAAATTTGCTTTGAGAAAGCTACCCAAGATACTAAATGAAAGAGGTAGGGAGAAACGCTGAGGAAACTCAAACAGCCCTTGTTTATTTTTATCAGTAATGTAGCTTAAAAGTAGCCAAGCGGATGGCTGAACTTTCCCTGTGTTTTGTTTCCCTGGACTGAGTTTTTGAATGCCAAGATTTAATCTAGAGGTTTGTGTTTTAAAAACTAACAACCAAGTAATAAAACACCTATAAAAGGGGGTTTATAATGGAAACTGTGACAGTTTTGAGTGCAGTATTTCAACTCTCTTCTCCCCTTCTCTACTCTTTCATCCATCTCTGTGCCCTTTGTCTTAGATCCTTTCTCACCTTGCTACCAAGGAGCTTGTAAGTGGGGTTAACTCACACCCCAAAGTAGCAGACCACCTTTGAAAAGTTAAGTGTGTATTGGTCTTCTGCATTTGCTGACAGGGGAGGCTGCTTGTTTTGTTTGTTTGTCTGAGATAAGAACCGAGATAAGTTGCTCTAACAAAGTACCTACCTAGTTTGCACAGTGGTTTCTAATAGAGAGTTGAAGATGCTGCTGCTGCTGCAAACTGTCAGAGGCATAAAGATACAGGAGTCAGCCAGGGCAGAAAGCCTGGGGCCTCCTCTCCTTGGCATCCTGCACCACCCCACCAGGGTCCAAGATCGCCCTGACTCCAGAGGCGGACTTCAGTCAACAGGTGGTTTTCCACCCAGGCCACCATGCCTGAAACTTGGTTATTTTTTTTTAAAGCCCTAGTTCTCCTCCTCCTCCCTAAGAAATGGCGCCTGGGAAGGGAAAGTTCGTGCTCAAACTCTGTAGGAGCCATTTCTCGGCCAATCTTTCTTATTTTCTTTAGTTTTCCCTGCCTGCCTCCCACCTATATCAGGGACGAAATAGGCGCACTCTCTTGAGTCCGGAGGGCTCTGGAAGGCATGTGGGCAGCGTCAGTGGCCTGGCCTGAGCGGCCAGAGAAGCCCCCAGCCCCCCTCATCTGGGCCTCAGGAACTCGGGGGGCCCAGGGGAAGCCTGGAAAACTGAACTTCGCCATCAGCCTTCCTTCGAGCACTGGCTGGAGGAGAGAGGGGAAGGGTCCCCCAGCCGTCTTCTCTCGTCCCCCCAGCACCTCTGCCATCTGCTGCAACGCCCAAGAGAGCATTCAGGACGCAGCTCAGAGCTCACCAGCTCTTCACAGCGGGGGTGTCCGAGAGAGGGCATCTTGCGGGGCAGCGTCCCACCCCTCCAGCCCGCCTCTGACATCCCCACTCCCACCCAAGGATGTCGCCGCCGTGCCCTGTCCGCAGTCGCTGAATGTCACTGCTCCCTCTTTCTCCTGGTCAGGGTAGACACAGCCCCCGAAGCGCCCTCCACCCCAAAACTGCTGCGCTCACCCGAGGGCGAAAGGCCTAGGTGGAGAGCGAAGTTTGGGGCCCACGGCGGCGGGAGGGGGGGCGCGTTCGCGAAGACCGCACCTCTGTCCCAGGCCCGGCGGGCACAGTCCCCTCCCCAAACGGCCCAGGCGTCCCCATCTTCCCGTGGACACCGGCATCCCCGCCCTCCCCCGAGGGCGGCAAGCGGAGCCCCCCAGGGCGGAGGCAGGTACCCCCGGGGCGGGGACTGGGGCGGGCGGGGTCCGGGCTGCGCCCCCGGCCGGGTCGGGCGGCTAGCGGGCGGCGCGGGGGGAGCAGGGCTGGGCGGCGCTGCCTCGGGCTCTGTGCGCTGCAGCCCGGAGCCGAGGAGGAGGAGGAGGCGGAGGAGGAGAAGGAGGCGGCGGCGGTGGGTCCCGGGCGGGGGGAGCGCGGCGCTGCGGACCCGGGCGGCTGGCAAAGGACGAGGCGGAGGCTGAGGAAGGCAGCGGGGAGACCCGGGCTGCAGCAACAAAGGGCAGCAAGCGATTGGCCGGGCTGCAGGCGAGGTTAGCCGGGGACCTGGGTGGCCGGAGGCAGCGGCGAACGGTGCACGTGCTTGCAGACACGGGCGAGTGTGGAGCCGGGGGGTGCACGCCCGGCGGGTAGGGGCTTGCTCCCCCTCGGGATAGGATAGCGAGGAGGCTGCAGCGACATCGTTCTGCCTGCACCCAGCCTGGGGCTTGCAGGGTAAGGGTGTGTGTGTGGGGAAGGATGCGAGCCAGGGGGCGGGCGAGTAGTCGCCCGGGACGGGACGGGAGAGAGGGTGGAGGAGGGGGCGGGATGGAACGCTCCGGGCGGCGCGCCCGTCCGCGCGCTGCACCGCGGGAGCTGGAGACTGAGAACCTCGAATTTTAACTTCGCGTGCCCGCCCGCGCGCGCCCGCCCGCGCCCACCCCTAAATCCTGCGGCCGCCGCCAGCGATCAGCTCTCACACAAACTTTAGCTGCGGGCTAGGGGGATTGGGGTTGAGTGGGGGAGGGGAGAGGGAAAAGGACCTGTGATTGGCGTTGCCTGTAGCCAATAAGGCCAAGCGCCTCTTCTGCCAGTCGACCCAATCCATTTCTAGCGGTGGAGGGGGCAGGTAGGTGGAAGCAGAGGTGGTGCGGTGTCTTAAAGAGGGAAATAGGGCTGGACCAATAGGTGCCCGGAAGGGGCGGGCCCAACGCTCTGTTGATTGGTACTGGCAGTGGACCCTCCCTCGGGGTGGTGCCGGAGGGGGATGATGGGTCGAGGGGTGTGTCTATTCGAAGGCGAGATGACCGGCAGGAACATGCCCCAATGGGCTGCAGAGTAGTTAGTAAGTGGGTGACGGACAAACCTATAGGCCAACGGTTTGCCTGAAGTATCTGCGTTCTCGGCCAATGGAGCAGTGTTGGGGCGGAGCCGCGGCTCGGGTTTAATGAGACTCCATTGGGCTGTAATCAGTGTCATGTCGGATTCATGTCAACGACAACAACAGGGGGACACAAAATGGCGGCTGCTTAGTTCTTATCCCTGGCGGCGGCGGCAGCGGTGGTGGAGGCGACGGCACCTCCTCCAAACGGCAGCCGTGGCTTTTTTCTCAGGCAGCGGCAGCGGCCCCGGCAGGCGCGGTGGCGGTGGCGCGCGACCAGGTCTGTCGCCCGCCCCCCGCGCGCGTTCCCAGGGGGAGGAGACTGGGAGGGAGGGGGGCGGAAGGGGGCTGTCGGGGGCTTGCGACGTCCCTCCCACAGGCCTCTGCGCGAGGGTCACCGCGGGGCCGCTTGGGGTCAGGCTGCCCCTGAGCGTGACGGTAGGGGGCGGGGGAAAGGGGCGGAGGGACAGGCCCCGCCCCGACAGGGCCCTCAGGGAAAGGGGCGTGGCTCAATGGTAGAGGGGGCGGGGCTAGGGCGGGGTTCGGGTAGTTGGAAGGCGGGGGCTTGAAGGGGGTTTGTGAGTGAGTGAACTGGTAGGAGTTGTTGGGGGCTAGCGAGTTACTGGGTAGGACTGGTGAGGGGTGAATGGAAGGGGGAACTGAAGATGTGGAAGCAGATGCTGAAGGGAAAGTAGGGCAGGGGTGCAGGTTTGGAGATGTGGAAGGGGAAGAGGGATAGGTGAGGGCAGGTGAAATGATGCAAAGGTTGAGATTGCAGTTGCCTTGGACAGAGTAAGGATGGACTTGGGTGTGGTGGATGTAGAATTGAGAAAGGAATGCAGAGTTGATGTTGGGTGGGTAAAGTACTGACCCATGTGGTAGAATTGCTCTGGTGGGAGGAGTTACTTGGTGGAATAGGCGTGTTGTAATAGAAAGGTTTGCTAGCTTTGAGGTATGTGAAGGCATAAAACAAACATACAAGCATGGAAAGATGGGATGGTTTTGATTGAGTTACCGAAAGATGAAAGATGTGAGGGGAGGCGAGGAGGGCTGCTTAGAATTTGCAGAATAAGTCTGTAGTAGCAAATTTCATTGGGACTGGGGATTCAGGAAGGAGCTCTGGTAGCGTGGTGCCTAAGGCTTTGACTGCTAACCAGAAGGCTGGTGGTTCAAACCCACCAGCCACTCCTGGGAAGGAAGATGGGGTGATCTACTTCTGTAGTGATACCATCATGGAAACCCAGAGGGGATCCCTGTGAGTCAGAATTGACTGGATAGCAATGAGTTTGGATTTTTGGTTTTGGGGATTCAGGGGCTGGAAAAAGGCAGCAGATGTGAAGAAAGGTGGGCACAGCTGGGCAAAAGATTTGGGTGAATGTAATTTGGTGGACTGTACCCAGATTGATGATGGGGCAAAGAGAGGTGTTAGTTTGGAAGATAGGGTTGTTTGATAGGCTGGATTTCTTGGATGAAACTTGAGCCTGAGACTTGAAGTTGGGGGAAAGGAGGCAGAACAGGGGGTTCCAGGACGAAGCATGTACACTACATTGGAGAAGAACATTGGGTATTTTTGCATTTGCAAGTACTTTGGTATGGACAAAGTTTGGGGAGTTGTGGGAGATAAAGCTGCAGAGGAGGGGATTGCTATGAGTTGTAAAGGAGTTTAAGTTCTGTAATTCAGAGGGACTGTTGGGATGTGATAAAGGTAGTATATAGGTGAGGATTGTGAAGGGATATGATGAAGAATTACAGTTTTGGGAAATAGAGAAAAAGAGCCAATGAACCAAGTATGGTTGGGGCAGAAGTACCAGGAAATTCAAGGTAAAGGGTATATGAAGACCCTTTTGTATAGATAGGGAAGCTGGAGTAGCAATTGAGAATTAGTTGTGTTGGCATAGGCCTACTTCTGTGGTTCTCCAAGCATTTTTTTTTAAGGACCTTCTCCTTGTCTTCCCTGTACTTCCTAGATTTTCTGAAATAGCCCTGAAATAAAACAATCCATTCTTTTCTTTCTTTCCTTTTTTTTTGATTTTAAAGAACAGAAATTTATTATCTCATAGTTCTGGAGAATAAAAGTCTAAATCAGGGTCTTGCGAATCTTCTGTGAGTTTCTCTCCTAGTTTCTGGTGACTGTGACATTCCTTTGCTGTTTATAGATGTATCTTCACATGGTGTCTCTCTTCTCCTGTATGTTTATGTCTGTTGTCGTTACGTGCCGTTGAGTCGTTTCCGACTCATGTTGTTGTTGTTGTTGTTATGTGCCGTCGAGTTGGCCACGACTCATAGCGACCCCTCCTTGGGTTTCCGAGGCAGTATCACTACGGAAGTAGGATTGCCCAACCTTCCTTCCGTGGAGTGGC